GTAGGGGAGAGCACCACCTCCCTTGGGAGCCCGTTCCAGACCTTGGCCACTCTAACTGTGAAGTTCTTCCTAATGTCCAGTCTAAATCTGCTCTCTGCTAGCTTGTGGCCATTATTTCTTGTAACCCCCGCGGGTGCTTTAGTGAGTAAAGCCTCACCAATTCCCTTCTGTGCCCCCATGATGAACTTATAGGCAGCCACAAGGTCTCCTCTCAGCCTTCTCTTGCGGGGCTGAAGAGGTCCAGGTGTCCTAGTCTCTCCTCATAGGGCTTGGCCTGCAAGCCCTTAACCATACGAGTGGCCCTTCTCTGGACCCTCTCCAGGTTATCCACATCCCTCTTGAAGTGCGGCGCCCAAAATTGCACGCAGTATTCCAACTGCGGTCTGACCAGCACCCGATAGAGGGGAAGTATCACCTCCTTGGTTCTGTTCATCATGCATCTGCTGATACACAATAAAGTGCCATTAGCTTTCCTGATGACTTTGTCACACTGACGACTCATGTTCATCTTGGAGTCCACTAGGACTCCAAGATCCCTTTCCGCTTCCGTGCCTCCAAGCAGGTTATTTCCTAGGCAGTAGGTATGCTGGACATTTTTCCTCCCTAGGTGCAGCACTTTGCATTTCTTCTTGTTGAATTGCATTCTGTTGTTTTCTGCCCATATGTCCAACCTGTCCAGGTCTGCTTATAGTTGTTCCCTGCCTTCCGGTGTGTCCACTTCTCCCCACAGTTTTGTGTCATCTGCAAACTTGGACAGAGTACACTTCACTCCCTCATCCAAGTCGCTGATGAAGACATTGAGGAGTATCGGTCCAAGGACTGAGCCCTGCGGGACCCCACTGCCCACACCCTTCCAGGTCGATACCGACCCATCCACTACGACTCTCTGGGTATGACCCTCTAGCCAATTTGCCACCCACCAGACTGTGTAGTCATCTAAGTCACAGCCTCTTAACTTGTTCACCAGTATGGGGTGGGATACCGTATTGAAGGCCTCATTGTTCACTAATTCATTGCCAACGAGTTTGCTGGAAATATAAAATTTCTGTAGAATTGTGGGTGAAGTTTAATTGATAATTTCCATCCCTTCCCTTCCTCCTGGCACTGCAGGGGCTGTACAGGTTTGTGTTCCAGGATGTTGGTGATTTGTCATCTTCAATCTTGCTTCCTAAAGATCATGTAGAAATGTCATCATAGGGGCTTAAAAAAACAAAGCTCTCTCTTCTTGGGTGAAGCCATGAAACCAAACACCCTTCCTTAAAGGGAACGTAATGCCTTTAAACCTCCCCTGAGCTGAACCTTCAGTAAAGCCAGGATCAGAGCTGTCAAGAGATGTTTACTCCTCCTCCTAGGATGAATGGCCTGTGATTGGTCCTTCACCCTGTGATGTCACCTGATAGTAGGGTATATCGGGTGGAGGAGCTGCTTGGAGACACATTTCTCTTCATCCAGAAGGCAGGTGATTTAATGACCTCCAAGAGGAGCATTCTTGACTGTAAGTGTTCCCTATAACTTCTCTGTACCCCAGCTACATGGGGAGGAGGAAAGAAATGAGGACTGGCTCAGAAACTGGGATTAGGAAAAGTCCAATGAAACCCAACGGGACTAGATTAGATTTTTGTGGCTAGAAAAGTCCTACAGGAATCACTTGCAACAGCTAGGAGGGGAGAAATTGTATTTCTTGTGTAATGTTGTAAAGCTCTTCGTTTAGCGTCAGGTTCATTGACAAAAGCAGATGTTAAGTGCTGTGGGGTGGTCTGCTTCTGAGGCTCATCAGTCTGGAAGCAGTTTCTTCCTTAGTATGTCCGCTGGTGACTGGTGGGATTGCACTACTGGCTGGCCATTGTGGAATTTGTTTAATCCTTTTTGTGGCTAGAACCCAGGTTAGTACCTGGGTACTTGCAGGGCAGGCTTGTAAAAGGAAGGTTGCAGGGAACTGTGGTAAGGACACCATTGCAGTCCAGGACTTGACTGGTGTGTACAAGATACTGCCACATCATCATTTGGTATCTGAGGGGCACAAATATGAGGAAGTCCACATTGTTAGATACCCCTATCCTGAGTATGATTATATACCCTATATCCTATATCCTGCTGGCTGGATGTGTTCTAGTCTCACAATTTAACCATGGCAGGATGCGTTGGAGCTGCCTGCCATTTCCAGAAAGGAGGATGCAACAAGAATACAGTTCCACTTAAAACTAGATTCAGTTATTTTTCTTTTCAAGAGTATCCTGTCTTTGCTTATCCTTGGTCTTTAAACCATTGCTAATGAAAAGAGCCTGAGAACTCAGAGCTATAGGATATGGGCATCAGTCATGGCTGAGGCTGGAAATATTCATAATATATACCTAGGTAGCCAGTTCAAACAGCTGACATTTAGAGCTGTGGGTCTTCTCTCCCTTATCTGCAACCTTGTGTGATACTGGTTACTAAATTGCGTAGCTAAAGCATTGCTGCAATGAAGGTCACAGCAGTACACAAGGAAACATACCCGAGACTGAATTAATTTGTGGAGGGAATGTAGTAGCAAGAACATATTTACCAGAGATTATATATAATTTAAAGACAATTATTGTAAGGATGACCACAACTCACATGGATCCAGTACCTTCCATTTTGGGAGCACTGCTGAAGGTTGCAACACATGTGGAGTAGTCTGTGTCTGATGGCTTCTGACATAGCTTACCTTAAACCTATGTCTGTCATTGCTCTAAAGAAGATCATGCTACTTGTCTAGGCTGTCTGTCAAGGAATCTGATCATACAAGATCAGAGATTAAAGCCATGAGGAAAGAGGATTAAAAAGAAGGCACGTGGGAACACTAAGAAAGGTGGGGAGGGGGATTAGTTTGGGGTGAGGCGAGATGTCATGTGATATAATCTGGATAAGCATATTACCAGGTATTGGGTAAAATTTAGAATTCAAGACACAAGAAATGTCATTAAACAACAGTTAATCTTGGTTGAGAAAAGATGCTGTTGGATGCAGCCTCTCTCTGTATAAGAGAAGGTGCAGAAGATGGAGAGTCTTTCAGCCTTTATTGGAAAAGAACTGGAATTCATAGCTAATTTTCTTAGTCGATTTACTAGTTCTTCTAGACCAATTGATAATGAGGGTCAGAAAACATGACTGGAAAGCTGTGCTGTGTGTATCCACTTCTTTGGTGAGCCCTGGACTACAGCACCATTCCTTGGTCCTGTGGTGTTCAGGAGGAATTGGTCACAGACACAGGGACTGGGGAAGATTTGATAGTATGGGGGAATGATCTCTGAACCACAATCAAAGATCCCTTTTCAGCTTCACTTTGCCTTTTTCAAGATGGAAAATACCTTCTGCTGACTGAGTAGTGTAACAATGGCAGTGTCAATGTGATTCCTAGCTTGAGATGAAAAAAAGTTGAACTCACCCAACACTAAGTCTCTTCCTACACCAAAGCTCTGCTCTTTTCCCTCAGTGTGGTAGCAAGTTGTCCTGATGAGTGGAGAGAACAAGGTCAATGAGTTTGGTGAGGGGAAAGGAGACGTCTAATCATTTACTGTTGTATACCATTTCTTCCCTGCCCTATTGGTTTAGTCTAGGTGAGAAACAGGAGGTAGCATAGTTTCATCTGAGGCTTTCTCCCACCAAAATCCAGGTGCTGGATGGCTCTATTGCCTCCCTGAGGAGTGGGATAGGGAACCCTGTGAAGCCCAGAGATTAAGCCTTCCTAGTAACTGCTTTTTCCTCCAGACGGACGTTCAGGGTCAAGGGGATGCTGATTCTCAAGTGCATTCTGGTCTGCCCGGAGTGTAGTACTCACTGCCAGCCTTGTATATTATAAATGAGAGAGCAATATCACTGCAAGGTCATTGATCACAGCTGCTCCTCTGGAGTCTTTTGGGGTTTTTTCACATAGCATTTGAAATTTTAAATCAGCATTTTTAACCAGTGTGGTGAATTTCATTGTCCTGGAGGTGGCCAGGGAAAGGAGTCGCCAGCCACACTGATTCTTACAAGGTGAATCAAAGCTGTTTAGAGCTGTCCTGTGGCTAGTGATTACACAAGCATATCGACTCAATGAACTCATACAAATGGAAAACATATATTGAACCTTCAACCTTTTCCTGCTTCCCCACATTCCAAGCAATGAATAATTGTTCCCAAATGATATTTTGAACTGCTTTACAATCCAATTTTAAATATCTGGGGTGCTCTCTACTATTTCCCCAGGAGGATGATATTCCATATTGCCCTAATATTCTAAATCAGAGGTTCCCAAGCACCGGACCACGGACTGGTACCAGGCTGTGAAGGGTTGACTGATGAGTCGTGGCATGAGCTGCCTGCTTAGAACCCCATCTGTCCACCTGGGTGAGCAGCTTCCGCCCCGGCAGTCATGTGTGGGGTTAAAGCTGGGCAGCAGGACAGCCCCATTAGGGAGGCAGCTGGCTCCATGCACCCCATCCTGCTCCTGTGCTGGTCTGCAGTATAAAAAAGGTTGGGAACAACTGTTCTAAATGATTATAAACTTTTTCTTAGAGTGGTGTGGCTCCAAATAGGTGCATGCTTAATCTGTAAATAAAAAATTAATATAAAAAAATGTCATATGGGAGAAAACCCATTGTCTAGCTCTATTGGTATTAGTTTTCCTACTCTGTCACAACTGACAGTTGGGACCTCTGACCTAGCAATCTGACCCCAGCGCTAGCCAATAATAAAGGCTTGGGCCAAAGATATAACCTTCTGTCTCCCAGCAGGTCATTGTGCAATATCATACTATGAAAATAAATGTCTTTCTGTCCCCAGCTGCTTTGTACGTGCTTTCAAACACAAAGACTTCCCATTCTAATCCTAGCAAGTATGACTGCAGATGTTCCAGTCCTGTTGCAGCCTTCTATTTAATTTCCAGGCTCTAGCTACAGCTATGATTTTTCTTTGGTCCCTTCACTAGCTGATGGTAACTAGGAGTTATACATTTGGTATGCTCCCTTCATTCATTTTCTGCATTTGTCTTACAGGCAGAAAGCTGTGAAAGAGGACTGTCCTTGCACACAGCAACCCCAAAATGAGTGAAAAGACCACCCTAATTCCAGGAGAGATACCAGCATCATCTGGTCCCACCACACCACGCAAGGGGCCTCCCAAGTTCAAGCAAAGACAGACAAGACAGTTCAAGAGCAAGCCTCCTAAGAAAGGAGTGAAAGGGTAAGTGCATTAAGGAGCTGAATGAAAGCAGTGCAGCCCTTCACATATGCTAGTCACATGCCATGTGGTGCGCTTCTAATTGATTTGATCCACCTTTTCATATATGCATCCTGACTTCACAGAAACACTGAGAAGGCAGGATCTGTTCTCAAGGAGGGAAAATCATGCTGGTACTGACACTTCTTACATATGAATCCAGTAACTGTGCACCAAGTTTTCCATGGCACTCAGTAGGAAAAACTTTGAAACAAACCTGCTATACCATGTTACTCCTAGGGAAGTCCTGCACAATCTTCCCCTTCCTTCTACAGTGAAGAACTTATGAGAGCTATTCTTTCACCTCTGGTGCTGATCTTGAGCTCTAACATTACAGGGACAAAAGAAGAGCCTTACTGAGCAGATCCCTTTTTTTCTAGGCCTCTGTCTCCCATCATTTGGAAAATCCTTGTGAGAGCTAGCTTTCTCTTCAGGTTCTATTCAAGCTCCACCTTACTTGTGTTGTCCTTTCCCATAGGTTTGGGGATGATATTCCAGGCATGGAGGGACTTGGAACAGGTAGGCATATGGAATATTGTTCTTTTACTATTCTTGTTACAAGAACAATCAGTCATGATTCATTATTTATAGGGAATATCTGTTACAATCTGGTGTTAATCTTCTTTCTTTGCCTTCATGCTATAGTACTGTAGGACTGGCCAGGTGCAATTTTCTTTCATCATAATCAACTATGTAATGAACTATGGGACTAGGAAAATATTATGAAAAAAATCACTACATATATATGCATTTTTAAATGTTTTCACTCCGATGTGAATGTGCTCATTCTGCATTTGCTTTCTGTAAATATTCTTGCAAATGATTTCCTCAGCAGGGATGTTCACAGAAAAAATCTACGCCAATAATGAAGAGAAGTCACAGAAAGTGCATTTCAAATTGTTGCTTGTTAATATTCCCACCAGAATCTCAAATTCTAGGAGTTACATTCATCCAGTTGGGAATCAGAAACACATTATATGTTACCCTGCAATTGGTCAAAACAGCTCTGGCCATGGACAATTTGAAAACAAAAGAGAAGGAATGAAAAGTAAATTGAATAATTAGAAACATTTTCTTTGAGTCATTTACACAGATCTAGTCATAGGTGGTTCTAAGATTTTAAAAAGGAGGGGTGCAGATGGTGTGGTACATCATCACCTACAACATAACACATTTTTCTCCAGTTAAACTAGAAGCTTTACTAATATGCTCAGTTTAAAATCAAAGCAAAAACAAATGTAAAATGTAATTATTGGAATGTGCACTAATTTGCTAGGGAATATGTTAATTTAAAAAAAACATAAAGCAGACAAAAATAGTCAAAATAGTCAAATAATATTGTGTCATTAGTCCTGTAGTCATAGTTAAATATACTTCTCTTCTTCAGATATAGCATTTTGACAGTGTCTCCAATATTTGGTGTCAGTTTGACTACACCTGAGTCAATATTAGGGGTGTGCAAAGTGGGCTCTATTTGATTCGGATTCAGCCTGAATCACTGTCCCTGAGTCTATTTGTTGATTCGATTCCCTGATCTGAATCAATGAATCAAATCACTGTCCCCAATTCGATTCAGCTGAATCCGAATCTGAAGATTCGATGCTGATTCGGAGAATCAGCGATTTGGACATGGACACAGCTTTAAAAGTTTTTTCTATATACCTCAAGGTAGCAGGCACGGCTCATGATCACCGCGATGCTGGGGCCCATGGAGCATCCCACAGGAGTACGGGGGGGCCCTCCACATGCTCGACGGCAAACCCAGAAGTGGACCGGAAGTACTCCCAGTCCACTTCTGGGTCTGCCAGAGAGCACGCTGGAGGACTCCCCCATGCCTCCTCGGCTCAGCGATCAGCCACAGGGGGACCCCGGGTGCCCCCCCAGACCCAGGAGGCACCAGTCGCCAAGCCAGGGAGGTGCAGGGGGGGCCCCACAGCATGTTCCCCAGCGGACCTGGAAGTGGACCAGAAGTGCTTCTGGTCCACTTCCGGGTCTGCTGTTGAGCATACTAGGGAGCTCCCCATGCTTCTGAGACATTCCATGTGCCCCAGCATCGCAGCACTCACAAGCCACCTGCTACCTAGAGGTATGTAGAAAAACCATTTAAAGCTGTCTCTATGTCCAAATTTCCAAATCGATTCTGAGGGTTCTGATTCGATTCAGAAAGATTAAAGGGTCCTCTGATTTGATTTGGAGATTTGGCCACTGAAATTGGGACAAATCTCCACCGAATCGAATCAGGGACTGAAGCTTTGCACAGCCCTAGTTAATATTACTACACCTTAGTTAAGATTTTTAGCTAGAATTAAATGTCTGCACAGCTGTGAAATAGAGAGACATTACTGGTTAACAGACAGTGCAACTGCAGAAGAAAGGATAGTTTAACCAGTGGAATGCTAAGACCCTTAAAAAGGAGAGGGGCATTACAAGCTGGCAGAGGGTAGATTCAGACTGGACATCAGGAGGCACTACTTCACTGTCAGGGTGGCTAGGATCTGGAACCAACTTCCAAGCGAAGTGGTGCTGGCTCCTACCCTGGGGGTCTTTAAGAGGAGGTTAGACGAACACCTCGCTGGGGTCGTTTGACCCCAGTACTTTTTCCTGCCATGGCAGGGGGTCGGACTTAATGATCTGCTCAGGTCCCTTCTGACCCTACCAACTATGAAACTATGAAACTATTAGCATGTTTGGAGTGGAAGGAGATTAGCTGGAATCAGGAAGATGATAATGATCCATGAAGTCAATTGACTCCCTCACTGCTGCCTAAATAGAAAGGCCTCTGCCTCTTCCAGGCCCAGGGAATTGGTTTTTAAAGTTTGGGTAGAGCAAGAATCAAGAATCAAATTGGGGTGTGACTACACCACTGCATCCCCCACCCCCATCTGCTTCTGGATCTAGTTATCAATTACTGAAGATGAGATACCAGATCATAAGGACAATTGGTTGGTTTTGATTCAGCTATAATACCATGCAAGATCATTGATCTTGTTCAGTGTTGTAGGAGATGACATATATGACTGGAAGAACTTGCTTGTCTGCCAAGTCTTTAAGTGGAAGCCCATTTTCCTTGCTCCTACCTCAGGAAGTATAAAGTAAATTAGGCTGCCCAGCCCTATGAACAGCAATGTGTGTGAGGTGTAATGATCTTGCCCTGTTTTTCTCCTCCTCCCTTGCAGATATCACAGTGATCTGTCCATGGGAGGCTTTCAGTCATCTGGAACTGCATGAGCTGGCCCAGTTTGGGATCATCTAAGTCACCGGAGTCACTGCTGGTCCTAGCAACTTCCAGTGTTTCAGAAAGATCTTCATCAATGTTGACACTTTTTTCAGCTCTTCCATCCACCTGATGACATTTTATTGATCATGTGTAGAAGGGACTTTGTGACACTGAGCTAATTCTGAACAATTCCTTCTCAGATTAACTTGGCTAGAAGTTATGAAGGACCCTGAATAACCAACATGGTTCATCAGATGAACTTAGTGGGGATATTTAACTACATCTGAATGCTCTGTCTTCTCCCTGGTATATTCAACATGTTTGCGATATCAACCCTGTATCTTAGGTTACTTCGTGTGTGGATTTTTATTCTGTATCCCCCCAGCTACTTGAGATACTGTGTGTATGTGTACTCTGTTTAAAATCTTACTCTGTATTGCCACTCTCTCATTGACAGGTGATGTTGTATTAAGCTTTCTTAGAATGTTCTCCCGTCCAGGATTTCTCTGGACACAAGAAATCCAACCAATGTAATGATATTCCATGACATCTGGGCCAGTTGTCCATTATTCTCAGGAATGTGGAATAGGTTTTAAGAGTCATCTGTTCAGCCATTTTAGCACCTTTCAATAGAAAAGTGAACGTGAACTCTCTCCCTTGGATATCCATAAGAAATCATTATTAAGATTCAGTTTATCAACAAGAGGAAAGAAGGGACTGGGAATATTGTATCTACCCTGGATTATCAACAGGTTAGTCAAGTAACCATTAGATTTCAGTTATTACAGTAAGGACAGATGAAAGCCTGAATGTCCAAGATCACTAACCAGTTTAAGAAGATGAAGTCAAACTGCAATTTGTCACTTAACAGTGACATACAGTATAGGAAGAAGATTTGTTTTATTCTTATAATCTGTCTGGGGAAAAATTGCTTGGTCCCAATTTTGGATCTCACAATAAGTTTAATGATCACCTCTCTCATCGGTGGGATTTTTTTCTTTCTTAATTAGGAACATGTCAAGAGCAGTCAATATTATAGTAATTTTTTTTAAATTTAGACTGACAGTCCATTGGAGAAAAAACCAAGGTGTTGATACTCTTCTCTTTTCTAAAATAGTGCCATTCCCTGTCAGCAACTGCTGGGCTATTAACAAAGTTCCCTTTTTAGAGTTCGGGAGACTAAAAATAAAGGAATTAAAAAAAGATACTGAAAAGGTTCCTCTTCTGAATATTAGACAGGCACATTCCTTTTTACCAACAGAGTACAGCTAATATGTCTCATTCTTAAAGAGCCTAAAATTAGCACTCTCCTTAACATTCCCATATTTGGCTGAATACCTGTTGTATACAAATTTTGGGTCACCTTTTCTTGTTCCTATTTGTTTTAACATGTTTACAAAGGCACAGTTTGAATAAAAGAAATAATACGTAATTCAGAGAGATTACATTTGCTCCTTTTAATTGTTGACAATGTTAAGATTTATAAAAGGAATTTTAAAACACGGTGTCTATTCTTTTTGAGAGAGAGAGAGAGACCCTGAAATTTTAATTTTCAGAAGCAGCAGAGAGAGATGAAAATGGTGCAAGGAAGAAAATACTTCAAATGTCCTGTCAAAATATTACAGCAGTAACACATGGTAATAAATTATGCATTGTTCTTTTATAAAAAAAAATTTAAATGTTTTAAAATCTTGAAAATATGATCTCAATTTCTTAAATGATATACAAAGAATAGGAGAAGTAAGGATTTCTTAGGGTGATACCCTTAACTGTATAGTTGGGATAAAGTTAGACAAGCTCTCAAATGCAACACATTCTCCTTTCGGCCTACCAGGCAGATAATGGAGCATTTCACTCTGAGTTTTTCTTGTGATTAAGGAAGAAACTTCTCTGATGCACTGCTTTCATTAATTTTATGCAATGACCATTAAATATTAAGTTCAGTTGCAGAAGGAGCACCAGAGAGGAGTCTGGATAATGACTGACTTGCGGAGTGGTGGTCAGCACACTGGACACAGAAGTTACAGAGATGGGCATTCAAATCCTTTGGAGTTGAAACTATTACTTGAGTCTCCAACTTCTTGTGCAAGTGTTTAAACTATTCATAGGACTAAAACATAGGCTTCTCTACCTCCACCCCCTCATTTTCCTGGAATTTACACTCCAGTATGCATACACGTGGCTGTGTACCTACCCAGACCTCCTACACATGCTTGATCTACATGTCCACATTTACCAGGATAGGTAAAAAATGGCCAGACAGACAGCTACAAAACAGTCATTTAGATGCACAAGAGGAAACAATTCTTTGTGTCTTCAGGTCTCTACTCTTCTATCATCCCGTGATATCAACCCTATGAGAATCTCTGAAGTTCATGTCACTCAGGACATCACCATAAAACAGTACACCTTGCAGGTAATATTAATGATGTATTGTCATCTCCAGAGAAGGTGATGATTCCCTTATACTCTCTCACCCAGACAACCTTCAAAACTTGTCAAGATCTGCTGAAGAGGTTTGCAGATTCCCTATAAATCATTCTGGAAGAGGTTCAAGAGTGCTAACCCAAAGAGGTAGATTTTCTACATATTATTATGCTGAAATTGGACAGCAGGCACCCGGTATGATTTTCCCCAACTCAAAAAAAGAATAAACAAGAGAAATCAGGTGCCATCTACACAGTATTGGTTTCATTGATGGTGGCGGCCATGAATAAGAAGACACAGCAACAACAAAAGACAAAATCAAACACATTTTTGGTCAAAAGTGCTGTTCTACAGAAAGGCTTCATTTTACCAAATTACCAAGTACTGTTGGCTCCTTATGAAAACAGATGCAGCAGCAGGTAGAAGCATAATATGTGGCGGCTAAGACGAGCCTAATACTGTGGTTACCAAATTAAAAACCTGCATGAAGGCCCAGGTCTCTCAAGAACAGAGTCTGATAAACTGTAAAAAAATACACCACCTACAGGAAAGAAGAATAGACTAGAGGGGCTGTATTAGGTCTTTGCCATTTCTGCTTTCTATGAATCTAAGAAATACTAAAGTTTATAAAATAAACAGCTTGTTTTTCATATAATATCCATAATTCCTCCCGACAATAGCAAATGTAAATACATAAATCAACTCAAAGCTATAAGCATGTATAAGTTTTTTTAATTCAACAGCAAGATACAGAAACAGCAGTAAAGAAATGAAGACACCCTAAGCAGTAACAGATAGTGAAATATAAAGTCTTTGCTTGTTTCAGCCGCATGTCAGAACAAACAAAATCTTAAGGAGATACTCTATCATCATTTCACTATCTGTTATCTGTCAGGATATCCTAAAAGCAAGCAAAGAGATTGAATGCAAAAGCAGTTGATGATTAGTGATGTCTTTTATGGGTTTATAATGTCACATGGTCAGCTGCTAAAAACTTAATTTCCAGGTCATTACTTGTTGCCATGGTCACAGGGCTGATTAAGGGTGATCACCCAGGAAAACTTCAGCAGCTAAAAGCAGATTAGTTTGGATAGGTCTGGGATGGGCAGAGTGCTCAGTAGCTACCAGGTTACAGAAAGCTCAGTAGTGTTTGACGAGGTTACATCTGTATTGATTGAAAGTAGTTTGTTTTTTTAATGTAAAATCCTCTCGTTTTTCCTTGAACACTCCTCTACCTGAAGTTCTCTAACAGGTCTGATTAGGCCTGGCTTGTCCAACATATGGCCGTTTTCTGAGGCCCAAGGTGCTGTGATGGGAAATGAAAGTAAACACTGTTTACTTTGTTCCCACCTCTTGTCCCTCCCCCAGCCCCTCAGCAGCTTCCTAATGGCAGCTGAAGGGCTGGGGAAGGGACAAGGCTCCCATGTGCAGCTCGCAGCACCCCACAGTGGGGCCCAGGCACACATGCGCTCTCTGGTGCCCAGACGACTTACCAGGCATCCTTGAAAGCAGGCGGAGGCGGTGGCACAGGGCCGGGGCCAGGGCTGAGCAGTGGAGCTGCACAGGGCTGAGGCGGGAGCGGGGGGCGGCGTGGGCACATGCAGCCGCCAGGGCAGTGAGGTGGGTGGCAGCAGAGCAGAGGGCACCTTTCCCGCACGTCCCGGGGAGGCTGTGGCCGGGAGGACGAGGAGGAGCCCAGACTAGGGCTCCCACGCATGGCAGCAGCTCTCCCCTCTCCGCTTCATGCCCGGCTGCACCTGCAGCTGTGCCCAGCTGAGCCGCGAGTCTCTCTTGCAGCCTCTTGGATGTACTGAGGAGCCCCCGCTCCCTCCTCCCTCCCGGCCCCCTGCAAGGCAGCAAGCGGCGGAGGCTGCAAAGTGCCGCGCAGGTGTCTCCTGCCGAGACGCATCCCTCCATCTTTGATTAGTTTCCACTCTGGCTGATATCTTTTCCACGTTTGATCTGTCAACTTGCATTATGCTTCTTTCATTATTCATTATGCGAAAGTGTTTATTTTAGTCAAGTGTTTGGTATTATATCATTGTTGCTTTTATATTGTTTTTATTTTGGATTTTAAACCACATTTCCAGACCCATTTCATTGTCACTTCTTGCAACTTCATTGGTGTCAAAGGTCACGTGACATCACTTCCTGATGTGATACCACTTCCTGTGAGGTCTCTGAATATGGCTCGCCAGCCCACTGGGTGATAAAAAGTTCATGATCCGGCCCCACGTTCAAAAAGTTTGGACACCCCTGGATTAGGCCAATTACCATTAACAGGGTAATAGGGAAGAAAGAGCTGCAATTTTATAAAACACTGCTGCGTTTCACCATTTTTAGTCCTCATTTCTATGGTCATCACAGGCCCTGTCATTTGTCCTGTGCATCTCTGAGTCTCATACATTTTCTTGGCCTACTTTCTAACCATATTCCCACCCTCATTACCTCCATTTTCATCCCTTCTCCCCTCCACACCCACATTCTGTTAACTCTGTCCTTCCAACCATCTCCTCTCTGCTTCCTCTTTATCCCAGTCTTCTTTACGGACTCCATTTAGCAACTCCTCTTTACCCTTCCCAAAGGGTTTTATATTCCCTTTGAACAGCTGTAAGTAGCTATATATGTTCGTAAATAATCAGAACCAAAATTGTAATATAATAAAGGGCTTAATCCACCTGTGTGTCTGTCTGCAACACTCTTGGAGCACTGTGATTGGTTGTCTCAGCAGCCAGTCACAATGCTTACTGAAACAACCAATCAATCAGAGTGCTCCGCAGGGGATGGAGTGGGAGGCGGAGTACTGTCATGACAGCAGGTATGGAGGGGATGGAGTGGGGGGGGAGGGGAGGCCAGCTCTGCCCTTCCTGCCCTGCTCCTTGGAGGCAACAGTGCAGGGTGCTGGTAGTGGGGGATGGAGGGGAAGGTGGAGCAAGCTTCCCCCCCCCCCGCTCCTGGAACATGGCAGCGCGGGGCGGTGGGTGGCAGCAGCTGCATGTAAGCTTCCCCCTGCCCCGCATCCGGCCCCGCTTCATCCCCGAAGCAGCGGCAGGGCAGGGCGGTGGGTGGTGGTGGTGGTGGTGGCCACCGCATGCAAGCTTCCCCCTCCGTCCCCCTGCATCCAGGGAAGCTTGCATGTGGCCGCTGCCACCACTCCAGGGATGAAGGTGGGCTGGATGCGGAGCAGCAGCAGCAGTCGCCACATGCAAGCTTGGCCCCCCTCCACCCCCTCCCATTCCTGGGAGGCAGTGGCGGTGTGGGGTGATGGATGATGGCACTCTGTCCCCTCCCACCTGCCTCCCTGCCCCCCATCACTCTTGATGGGCAATTCACTAGTATATTTATAAAAATGAAGAAAATTCAATGGAAACAGTCCTGAGCTAAGTGAATTATTTCCATAATGTAGTCATTGGGCACATATTCTTAGAAAAGAAGTGGAATTTATATAATCATTTTAGTCACCTAACCTTTCTCCAGTAGGGGTCAGTGTTTTATTTCTCACCTTCAGAGGAATGTGTGAAGAACCTAATTAACTTATGCCTCTCTAAATTAATTTGTTAAAGGCCACTCTGCCCTGCCTTCTGCCTGACTTCAGACTAACGTGGCAAGCTACTTTTCTGTGCAACGTTATGTTACAGTAGACATTTTCTCTCTCATCTCTAGGCCATTATATTTTTGTGCTCAGAAATCTAAGATAATACTTTGCAATTTTATCTCAACCAGTGTAATTGCTTGCATTTAATAGATTTCACAGATTTTTAGGGTCAGAAAGGACCCGTTAGATCACTGAGTTCGACCCCTGCCCTGGGTACATTGAGTCCGACCCCCTACCTGGGCAAGAAAGAGTGCTGGGGTCAGACGACCCCAGCCAGGTGTTTCTCCAATCTCTTCTTAAATGCCTCCAAGGAAGAGGACAGCGCCACCTCCCTTGGAAGCACATTCCGTATTTTGGCAACCCTTGCTGTAAAGAACTTTTTCCTGACGTCCAATCTCAATTTGCTCTCCCTCAGTTTGTGGCCATTGTTTCCAGTTACCCTGATGGGCGCCCTGGTAAACATCGTATCCTCTATTTCCTGCTCTCCCCACCTAATAAGTTTGTAGACGGCCACAAGATCACCTCTCAGCCTTCTCTTGCAGAGGCTGAAGAGGTTCAGGTCCCTCAATCAGTCCTCGTAGGGTTTTTTTCTGTAGGCCTTTAACCAGATGAGTGGCCCTGCTCTGAACCCTTTCCTGGTTATCCACATCCCTCCTGAAGTGCAGTGCCCAAAACTGGAAGCAGTACTCCAGCTGCAGCCTGACCAATGTTGCATAGAGAGGAAGTATCACCTCCCTAGAGCTGTTTGTGATGCACCTACTTATGCAAGAAAGAGCGTGGTTAGCTTTACTTATTATGTTATCACATGGGCAATTTATGTTTTTTTTGGAGTTGACTATGACTCCAAGATCCCTTTCTGCAGTTTGCATTCATTCATTTTAATGTCAGCAAGCTATTAAGCTCAGTAACAGTACATGACAGATTATAGATTTCATAGACATTTGGGCTGGAAGGGACCCCAGAGGATCATTGAGTCCAGCCCCCTGCCCCAGGGGCAGGAAGTCAGCAGGTATCATAGGATCCCAGCAAGATAAGCATCCAAACAGGTCTTGAAGACGTTCAAAGTGGGTGCTTGAACCGCCTCTGGCGGCAGTCTATTCCAAACCTTGGGGGCTTGGACAGTGAAGAAGTTCTTCCTTATGTCCAGCCTGAATCAGTCGCGGCAGAGTTTGTGACCATTCAATCTTGTCATCCCTTGGGGTGCTCTGGTGAACAGACGTTCCCCCAGATCCTGGTGAGCACCCCTGATAAACTTATAGGTGGTCACCAGATCACCCCTGAGCCTGTGCTTTTCCAGGCTGAAGAGTCTCATGGCTCTCAGCCTCTCATCATAAGGTCTGTTTTCCTGACCTCTGATCATGCGCATGGCTCTCCTCTGCACTCTCTCAAGCTTCTCCACATCCTAGACAGCAAGGGCTACAGGCTAATTAGGCCTGATTAACTGAAGTTCTGAACTGGCCAAAAGATAGGGTGCTTTGGTTGTGTAGCATTCAGATGTAGACCATTTCTGCTGTTCCTACATATGCAAAATCCCTTTATAGCTATTTCAAGCAGTGTTTAGCTTGAATAAATCTGAGGTTACTGGAACCCAGAGATAATCTAACTTACCTTTGCAAGAAAGAATGATTCTCTTACCAATAGTACAAAGTCTGCTAGCTGACGTGCTCATCCAACATGATTAAAACTTATCTGCAGTTTGCTGGGACTTGCCCCTTCAAAAGCCTTTCCTCACACTCACTGAAAACAAGACTTTGAAGGGATACTGCACAGGGATGTATTAGAACTCAAGTGTAATGTGAAGAATTTACAATTTTGCTTCTGTTGCTAACAGTTGCATTAGCTTAATTCAGGGGCGGGCAATTATTTCGGACAGAGGGCCACTTACCCAGTTTTGGCAAGCTGTTGAGGTCCGCATGAGTAGCCCTGCCCCGTGACAGGTGCCCCACCCCCTGGTCACCATCTTGGGACCAACGTCCCAGGGCCAGCACCAGTGGGGTGCACAGGCTGGCAGGGGTCTGTGGATTGGCTGGGCTGCACCAGCAGGGAGAGGGGGGAGCTAGCCTGGCTCCATAGAGCCTCTGCCAGCCGGGCCCCTGTACTCCTGCTGCCCTGCTCTGGGCCCTGCTGGTGCTGGCCCCAGGACACTGGTGTGGGCCCTCTGCTCCCGTGCCTGCTCACTCCCAGTGCCCCCCAGGCCCGCGGTACAAGCAGGGGGCAGCGCACAGCCCCAACCGCCTGCTCACTGGCAGGGGAGGGGCTGGGGCG